TCTCGTTTCACAATGGATATAATCTCTTGAACTTGAGGAATACTCGAAACGAGCGTTCAACGCGTAGTATGGAATTGACGCGTTCTTGAAAATTTCCAAGTTTCTTCTTCCTTCTTTCACACCCTTCGAGAATGGTAATGGCCGTAACTAATCACCACGTTGCTCGACGTGTTACATTTGATAGTCGAAACTCGTTTCTGTAACAAGGAATATCATTCACCCGATTCCTGGAACGATATTCAGCGTGAGATTAATATCTATATGAGAAGTAAACGGAGAAACCTGATTTTCATTATTTTCATCGAATAAATCGAGGAAATTTTATTATATAGGCACGTGGATTCGGAATAATACAGAAATTTGCAATTTATAATATAAGATAAAGGAATTTAATGATGTACAAAGATTTACAAGATTTTTTTTTTTTTTTTTTTTTTTTTGAATTTCGAAGAGATCGAGAAGATGGATGGAATTTTTATTTAAATTTTATGAGTGATAAAACGTGATAGATATAAGTTTCTCTCCTCTTAATTAATTACCAAAATGGCGAATTATTATTATTTCAAATTATACGAAGAAAAACGAAAATTTTTGAAATTCAAATTATTTAAACAAGTCACTGTTTACAATGTTAACAATTATCGACATTGATATATTATTCGATTTCTCTTTTCAAAATACAAAATCCACGAATTTCAAGCGAATCTATTCTCCGACCCGGCTGGGTGAATCGAGTAAACTTTGTACAGCTGAACGGCAAATGCGCGGCGATCTAAACAGAAATTCCCTGTGCGTGTAAACCGAGAGCTTTCCTCGGCTCTGATGCAACGAATTCCGATGTAAAGAAAGAAAAAAAAAAAAAAGAAAGAAAAAAAACAGATCGTCGAATTGTTCGACGTGTTTATTCGACATCGTGGAAAAAATTCTTCGAAGGAATAAGTTGCTTCCAACTTATTTTTCCAACGTTTAAAATTATCTTATTTCTGAGAAATTCACATTTTTCGATTTTAGATTGCTAGATTTTTTTTTTAATAATTATAGGTGCAATTAGAATGCAAAATAAAAATTTCTTAACAATGAAGATTAATATTAATGATATAATTATAGGTGATTAAAATTATGAATTAGATATATATATATGTGTATGTATTTGATATTTTTAAGTGGAGTGAAATAATAATGAAAGCCTTCTAAAAAAGGATTTTTTAGAAATATAATTTACAAGAGAATGAGTTGAATGAGTTTCGAATAATCGGGGAATGTTTTTCCATTTTTTTAAATCGAATTTTATTACATTATCCCGATCGACCTTGGGAATTTATTTTTTTTTTCCATCTTTCGCCGCGATTGTCAAAATAATTTCAACACTTTGGCCGCCATTTCCGTAACAATATAGTTAATTTAATAATTTTGTTACCATAAATAAAAAGATACGTACCTATGTATGAAGAATAATTAAGTGTGTCCATAGAAAATAGGAATCGTGATGATTGGCAAATGACGTTCGTAAGACACGGTTGTAATTGAGATTCTTGCCAGATTATCGGAATTTTTTTTCTGTTTTGCATGCGCGAATATACGTGTCCACTCAATTTAGCATATTAAAAACTTCAAATCATCGTCTTTAAAATTTCAACAAGAAGGGAGGGGGAGAGAGAGAAAGAGAGAGAGAGAGAGAAAGGAAAAAAAGCGATAAACGTTATTCCCTCGAAACCAAATTCCAATCCTCCAAGAAATTTAAATCGTTCGATTCGCGTGTCATATTCAAATCTATTAAAAAACGCGCATGCAACGCAAGCACACACACACACACACAGACACATCAAACTCGTCTTGAATTTCTTCATCCCCATCGAAATCCTCGATCTATCTAAGAAAATTCAAATTTAAAATTAAATTAAAACTAAGAAAGAGAATTTTACAACGTTAATTAATAAACAAAACGTTTATAATATAAATGTAAAAAATTGGGAAAAAAAAATTCCAATTTTCCGTAAAAAAAAAAAAAAAAGAAAAAACGGTTGAAATAAGAGGAAAGGCGGGCGAAATAAAGTCTTATCTAAATTCTCGGCCTCGGATAGGAGGCGAAAAAAAGGGAAAAGGGGGCGGACGTCTGGAAAGCAGACATTTTACTTCCAACATGGACGAATATAAGAGGATACGAGTGAGAGAGAGAAAGAGAGAGAGGGAGGGAGGGAGAGAGAGAGACGGTTGGAGGAGGGTTGGGAGAAGCGGGGAGATAGGGTGGAACTGGCTGCTGACTCTCATTAAGTTAAATTGTCTCCGAGGATGAGCTTCCTTAATTACTTATCCGATGTCTCGCCTTTTATTCCGCGCATACCGGCGCGGATACAAATTTTATTCGCGATCCTTGTACGTCGAATACCTGAGAGAGTGGAATCGTAATTAAAAACGGAGGATTTTTGGGGAAGTCGTTTGACTTTCTTTCTTTTTTTTTTTTTTTCTTCCACTCTTTATTATTCGCTTCGTGGAAAAAAATTTTTTTTTCTTTTTTCAATCGAGGCCCACGATGATGAAAAATTCTTGGATTTGTGACAATTAAATTATCCTTGCGATATGTAATACATAAATCTATCTTTGATTCTTTGAAAAGCAAATTTTTTGTATTCTTCTGTATAAAGAAATTTTCAGTTAATAGAAATAAGTAAAATGACATTTTGATTTATTTTTCGTAAATCAATTAACGCTTTTTATCGTGCATTTTTTTAAAACCTTGGCTAATAATAAATATCCTTATCTCGAGGCAGATGTAAAGAAAATGAATAATAACGATAATTTTCAATCTCATGTATCCATCTGTTATTTTACATTTTTTTTTTTTTTTTTTTTTTTTT